CGCCGGCGGCTGACGTGCGCCGGCCGGCGGGACTGTGGCACGGGTCCCACCAGGCGCTGCCTGCGGTCATCGCCCTTACACCCAACAGCTCCTAGGCACGGGCAGGAGCAAGAAGACCCAGGCCAGCATTCACGAGTTTGGATTACTCGAAGAGCAGAAATTGAGACAACCCATAGCTGCCCCATTCTCTTCTTTCTCAGGAAAGGGATTTAACCACTGAGGATGTTCCTGTGAAGTCCAAAACATGCAGCAGATGAAGCTCTCAGAAACAGCGCGCATGAGAAAAGTTTCAATCGTGAACAGTTTAGGGCAGTCAGCAACTAAAGACCAAGGGATCTCTGCTTTATATATAGTCATGCCTTCCTTTCCACTCAAGATCATGCTCTATAAATACCTTCAAGGTAATGATATAAATGAAGGAAGGGAATTATTTGCAGTCTCCAAAGATGGCAGGATACACAGCAGTGTCCTGAAGCTATGGAAGGAAATATTTAGGCTAGAGCTGCACAGCAGGATAGAAAAGGGACGGGGAGAAAAACAGGGAGAGTATCATCTTTAACACAAAAGGACAACAGGGCAAAGAGCAGAGGTGGCAGCAGACACCTCTAGGGCACGCTCGGAGGGCGAGCTGGATGCGAGGGTTTGCGAGGGATCTGATGTTTTTGCAACCCAGCTTCCGACGGGAGCTGAGGTGGATGCAAAGAGCAGCTCCAGAGCCACGGGGTGGCTTCCGCGTTTCGGGTGCAGCTTGCACAGTCCGGGCTTCTTCTGCACGGAGGAGTCAGCTTTGCAGGGCCCGAGCTCTGCTTTCTCCATCCCAGCTCCTTTTCCCGTGGGATGCCTTTGCCTAAAGACAGGGTCTTATCTTCCAGAAGACCCAACTTTCACCTACCACTTTCCAACTCCCAAATCGCAAAGAACAGAAATATCCCCCGTCCCACTTCCGCGCACGTTTGCTCCGTTTGCCTCACGCTGCTCACTGCAACCAGAGCCGCGCTGGCTGCACTGGACCCTGCCGGCGGCTTGGCAGCCGGAATAAGCTCTTTCCTCGGGCTCTGCCCCGGCGCCATGGCTGGCAGGGCTCCCTGGCAGAGCGGGGCGCTCGGGCCGGCTTCCCTCCCACACGTGCCGGCCGCGAGGAGGGACCGAT